CGATTTGCCTAATAAGCCAAGTTTTCCTGAATTAATATATTTTCTCTAATTTTTTTCTTATGAAATGATAAAGCTACCCATTTCATTATGTATGAGGTCAATTTTTTTTATTGGAGTTAAAATTAACGTAGATATATGACCGAACCTAACCAACCCTACCTAACCTAACCTAACCTATCTCTATAGGTTAGGTTAGGTTAGGTAGCCGAAAACGTTAGGTTAGGTTAGGTTAGGTAGGTTAGGTAGTCGAAAAACAATTAATTCATGAAAACTTGGCTTATTAGGCAAATCGGGCCTTGCATAGTAGGCTGAGAAGTGCGTTCTGGCTACTAGGTACGACATATATATATATATATATATATATATATATATATATATATGCGAACAAGCCTGAATGGTCCCCAGGACAATATGCAACTGAAAACTCACACCCCAGAAGTGACTCGAACCCATACTCCCAGAAGCAACGCAACTGGTATGTACAAGACGCCTTAATCCACTTGACCATCACGACCGGACATAATGAGGTGATAGCCGAGGCTATTTGAACCACCCCACCGCCGGCACTCGGATAGTAATCTTGGGCATAGCATTTTACCAAATCACCTCATTCTTTGGGGCACACGTGAGGAACACAAATGCGAACAAGCCTGAATGGTCCCCAGGACAATATGCAACTGAAAACTCACACCCCAGAAGTGACTCGAACCCATACTCCCAGAAGCAACGCAACTGGTATGTACAAGACGCCTTAATCCACTTGACCATCACGACCGGACATAATGAGGTGATAGCCGAGGCTATTTGAACCACCCCACCGCCGGCACTCGGATAGTAATCTTGGGCATAGCATTTTACCAAATCACCTCATTCTTTGGGGCACACGTGAGGAACACAAATGCGAACAAGCCTGAATGGTCCCCAGGACAATATGCAACTGAAAACTCACACCCCAGAAGTGACTCGAACCCATACTCCCAGAAGCAACGCAACTGGTATGTACAGGACGCCTTAATCCACTTGACCATCACGACCGGACATAATGAGGTGATAGCCGAGGCTATTTGAACCACCCCACCGCCGGCACTCGGATAGTTATCTTGGGCATAGCATTTTATCAAATCACCTCATTCTTTGGGGCACACGTGAGGAACACAAATGCAAACAAGCCTGAATGGTCCCCAGGACTATATACAACTGAAAACTCACACCCCAGAAGTGACTCGAACCCATACTCCCAGTCACTGGTATGTACAGGGACGCCTTAATCCGCTTGATCACGACCGGACATAAGGAAGTGATAGCCGAGGCTATGTGAACCTCACGTGTGCCCACCTCAAGAATGAGGTGATTTGGTAAAATGCTATGCCCAAGATTACCATCCGAGTGCCGGCGGGGAAGTGGTTCAAATAGCCTCGGCTATCACTTCCTTATGTCCGGTCGTGATGGTCAAGCGGATTAAGGCGTCCCTGTACATACCAGTTGCGTTGCTTCTGGGAGTATGGGTTCGAGTCACTTCTGGGGTGTGAGTTTTCAGTTGCATATAGTCCTGGGGACCATTCAGGCTTGTTCGCATTTGTGTTCCTCACGTGTGCCCCAAAGAATGAGGTGATTTGGTAAAATGCTATGCCCAAGATTACCATCCGAGTGCCGGCGGTGGGGTGGTTCAAATAGCCTCGGCTATCACCTCCTTATGTCCGGTCGTGATGGTCAAGCGGATTAAGGCGTCCCTGTACATACCAGTTGCGTTGCTTCTGGGAGTATGGGTTCGAGTCACTTCTGGGGTGTGAGTTTTCAGTTATATATATATATATATATATATATATATATATATATATATATATACGTGAGGAACACAAATGCGAACAAGCCAGAATGGTCCTGGGGACCATTCAGGGCTTGTTCGCATTTGTGTTCCTCACGTGTGCCCCTAAGAATGAGGTGATTTGGTAAAATGCTATGCCCAAGATAACTATCCGAGTGCCGGCGGTGGGGTGGTTCAAATAGCCTCGGCTATCACCTCATTATGTCCGGTCGTGATGGTCAAGTGGATTAAGGCGTCTTGTACATACCAGTTGCGTTGCTTCTGGGAGTATGGGTTCGAGTCACTTCTGGGGTGTGAGTTTTCAGTTGCATATTGTCCAGGGGACCATTCTGGCTTGTTCGCATTTGTGTTCCTCACGTGTGCCCCAAAGAATGAGGTGATTTGGTAAAATGCTATGCCAAGATTACTATCCGAGTGCCGGCGGTGGGGTGGTTCAAATAGCCTCGGCTATCACCTCATTATGTCCGGTCGTGATGGTCAAGTGGATTAAGGCGTCTTGTACATACCAGTTGCGTTGCTTCTGGGAGTATGGGTTCGAGTCACTTCTGGGGTGTGAGTTTTCAGTTATATATATATATATGGGGACCATAGGCTTGTTCGCATATATATATATATATATATATATATATATATGTCGTACCTAGTAGCCAGAATGCACTTCTCGGCCTACTATGCAAGGCCCGATTTGCCTAATAAGCCAAGTTTTCATCAATTTATATAATTTTCTAATTTTTTTCTTATGAAATGATAAAGCTACCCATTTTATTATGTATGAGGTCAATTTTTTTTTGCATTGGAGCTAAAATTAACGTAGATATATGACCGAACCTAACCAACTCTACCTAACCTAACCTAACCTATCTTTATAGGTTAGGTTCCGGTTAGGTAACCGAAAAAGTTAGGTTAGGTTAGGTTAGTTGGGGAGTAGGTTAGGTAGTCGAAAAACAATTAATTCATGAAAACTTGGCTTATTAGGCAAATTGGGCCTTGCATAGTAGGCTGAGAAGTGCGTTCTGGCTACTAGGTACGACATATATATATATATATATATATATAATGTCGTACCTAGTAGCCAGAACTCACTTTTTGGCCTACTATTCAAGGCCCGATTTGCCTAATAAGCCAAGTTTTCCTGAATTAATATATTTTTTCTAATTTTTTTCTTATGAAATGATAAAGCTACCCATTTCATTATGTATGAGGTCATTTTTTTTTATTGGAGTTAAAATTAACGTAGATATATGACCGAACCTAACCAACCCTACCTAACCTAACCTAACCTATCTTTATAGGTTAGGTTTGGTTAGGTAGCCGAAAAAGTTAGGTTAGGTTAGGTTAGGTAGGTTAGGTAGTCGAAAAACAATTAATTCATGAAAACTTGGCTTATTAGGCAAATCGGGCCTTGCATAGTAGGCTGAGAAGTGCGTTCTGGCTACTAGGTACGACATATATATATATATATATATATATATATATATATATATATATATATATATATATATATATATATATATATATATATATATATATATATAATTATATATGACCGAAAAAGTAAGATTAATAATTCTAACACGAATTTTCTCTATCTTTCGTACATTTCTTTCACTGTTGGTGGTAATTCAAAAATCAATTCTCCAAAATTCATTTTTATTTCTAGTCTGACGCGACACTTGAGCGTGTTTCGTAAAACTTATTACATTTCCAAAGACTTTAGTTTACACATACACAACTGAATAGAACTTACACATCTCCGATTTGTTTATATCTAGTATATTTATATCTTTATATCTAGTTTATATGAGTAGGCTGGCCGTTTTTCATGAGAAACTCTCCAGACATCATGAGAAACTCTCCAGACACAAAGCAGAACGCTTTAAAAGAGACCAACGTCGTCTATGCCTTCAAATGCCCTCTTGGGGATTGTAAGCTCCAAAAAACCCAGTATATAGGCAAGACAACAACATCTCTTTCTAGGCGTTTAACGATGCATAAGCAACAGGGCTCCATTAAGGAACATATAATCTCTTCCCACAACCAAACCATCGCCAGAGAACTCCTAGTAAACAACACAGAAATCATCGATAGATACAGCGATAGCAGACGGCTTGACGTTTGCGAGGCACTACACATCAAAAAGTCAACACCAGCAATCAACAGCCAATTAATGCACAACTATATTCTACCTACCTCAAGACTCCGCTCCAATATAGAAGCATCAAGAAATATGGACCAATAGGCTTTCTACAATCACTTCCATTCAACACCCATTGTTTTGTGTTCTGTCTTGTGTTGATGAAATTAATACCCTATTAATACCACCTCACCCATCCACCTCACTCAAATGTAGATATAAACAAATCGGAGATGTGTAAGTTCTATTCAGTTGTGTATGTGCAAACTAAAGTCTTTGAAAATGTAATAAGTTTTACGAAACGCGCTCAAGTGTCGCGTCAGACTAGGAATAAAAATGAATTTTGGAGAATTGATTTTTGAATTACCACCAACAGTGAAAAGAAATGTACGAAAGATTGAGAGAAAATTCGTGTTAGAATTATTAATCTTACTTTTTCGGTCATATTTAATAATATATGTCTACAGGAAAGACTGCTGCTACCAATATATATATATATATATATATATATATATATATATATATATATATATATATATATATATATATATATATATATATATATATATATATATATATATATATATATATATATATATATATATATATATATATATATATATATATATATATATATATATATATATATATTATATATATATATATATATATATATATATATAACTACTATATAATATATATATATATATATATGGAAAAACTGTGTTTTTTCAGTTTTCTGAAAAACTGTGGTTTTCATGGTTTTATATACCTACTATATAGAGGCCATCCCTGTGTCAGGTAAAAACATGTGTTTTTGAAAAACAGTGCCATCTGTTGCACATAATAGCAACATGAACGCTAAACTAAATGGGTCACGAATTCTATTTCAATGTCCGATTGCATTGATAAATTTTATTTTCATAGATTTCGATTTATTATATTTTTTATTGAATTATTTTGTGTAACATTGTGTTGGAATTGAGCTGTGTTGTTTACCATACCGTTTGTTTCTTAATAACCGAAACATATCCTCTTAAGAGTCGGAATCAACAAAAACAAACAATAGCTCATTTTAATAAAAAATGTAATGAATGCGAGAATGAAAAAAGTGAATTAGAAATTAAATGTGGAAATCAAGATGCCACAATAACAGATTTAAATACAAATGTGAGAGATTTAGAACTTACTATTGTGCAGCTTTCAGAGAAATTAGGAGACCAAGAAAATGAAATAGAGAATTTAAAGAAGGAAAATTCAACTCTTCAAGATAATCAAAATAAATTGAAAAATAACCTAGAAGATCGAAACAATACTGAATTAATGAAGCTTAGAATCCAATACGATGATGAAAAGAAACAGTATGAAACAGAATATGCATTTATGTTAGATGAGAAAGACAGACAAATTCAACATATCTCCGAAGACAAAGACAAACAAATAAAAGACTTAGCTGATGAAAAAGAAAAACTAACCGATTTAATAAATTCAAATAATACTAGAATAAGATCCAAATACGTTACACTCGAGAATGACCTAAAAACATGTAAGCAACAATTAAATAGTGCACTTGAACAATTAACTATAAGTCGTCAACAACAAGAAGAATTATATAGGCAAATAAATACAAATTTAATGTCTCTTGAAGAATACCAACTAAAATTAGCCACATGTGAAAACGATATAAAGAACCAGAATATGCAATTTCTGGAATGCCAACAAGCCCTACAAAAATGCAAAGATGATAAACTATCAGAAAAAGAAGAATATAATAATTTATTAGTATCCCAAAACCATTATGTTCAGGAATGCCAACAAAAACTACTAGATTGTGAAAATTCTAAAAAAATAAAGTATGATGAATATAATACATTAGTAAAGAATATAAATGAAGCAAATAAATATAATATTGAAACATTAGAGCGACTTTATACAAAACCTACATTATCGAATAGCGATATAATTCATTGTTTTTCAAGCATATTTCCTTTAGATGATGATGAATCGAAAGCAACAGGAAAATAACAAATTGAAGCAATAATAAATAAGTTCATTCATCAGTTGAATACCGAATGTGATAACTACATTCACGAAGAACGTGAAAAGGACATTAGAGACAGGATTTCCCGTTTAAATTATATTAATAATAATGATCCACACCAAAATAATAATATACTTAATATTTTTACTAATGAGGAAGAAAGAAATTTATTTAATCAAATATTAGAAAAATTTAAAACTAATATTATCGATGAAACAGTATATGAACACGAACGTCAAATAATGCCCTATGTAAATGAAAATGATCATTTAAAACGCCAATTAGACGAACCTAATTATGTTGCTAAATTGTTAATAGACGCGGTGGCATCAATAGTTTTAGTTAAAGAAATTATAATAAGACAAATTGTTGACCTGGAAAGAGATCATAAAGGAACGAATGAGGAAGTTATAAAAGTTTATACATTTGTTACTATTATATATACATTATTCCAGAAGGAAATAAGGCAAGATTTGAATGCAAATAATGTACAACGCTTTTATTACATTATCTCGAACGTGATTCGTAAGTCCCCTTCTGATAATATTCATGAAATACTGGCTTTACAACAACAAAATTATTTAAATATTAGAACCTTACAACAAAGAAATGAAACAATAACTTCTAACCTGTTGACCATTCAACAGACAAATGCTAGTCTCCAGGATTCCAACAAACAAATGCTTTCAGAATTAAGTGAGACAAGAATGCATTTGTCGATGATTAACCATGATGAGACTTCGGTGGACCCCATAGAATACGAAGAAACTCAAATGAATAAATTCACTTCGATCATCCAAGCCGTCACTACTCAGCTCGATGCTTACTTGGCCGGGACATGCAACAATAAGTATTTGAGATCAGCATTCGACAAACTCTCAATAAGAGAAATGTTTTGCAGGAATGAAATGGCCAAATCTGAAATGATGCAATTATTTATTTCACTTTCAAATCATATCTTCGAATTTATATTCTGCACCCAGTTCTATAAGAATCTTTTCACGGTAATAAACGATAATATTCTTTGGCGTTCCATTCAATTAAACCTTCATTTTTCACGAGAAATGTATAACCACCAAGATATGCTATCTGAAATATTAAACATACCGATGATAAATGAAGCTATAGAAATAGCACCCGTTTTCCCGATTCTATACAATATTAGTAAATTAACCCTGATAAATGGTACATATTCTATAAGCAACTATGAGGATAATAATCAAATAGTGTCTATCGATAACGAAAAGAAGAATTTAAAATCGATTGTGTTATTTCACGAGGCTAGTATGGAAGCAGAAAAATCTTGGTTCCTTAAAAACCTAAAAGTTAAGTACGAAAGTGTATTGGGTGATGACAGCATTTTAAAAGCAATCGCCTCTCAGAAAGTTTCTTCGCCTGAAACTGTTGAGAAAACAACCACACAAAAAAGAGATAAAACAAAATTAAAAGATGCAAAACAAAGGGCAAAAGATAAGACTTAAGGCAGGCGACAAGTCGAGGCATTAACAGAGAAAAAGAATCAAAGGGATAGACATGTAAACATTATAAGGGGAGGAATAGTTGAAAATAAATAAGAGGATGTTGACTGTAAGAGGATGTAAATATCCCTCCCCCCCAAAACAATAAGATGGTAAGCAGTCAAAACTAAATCATTAGAGAAAGGAATTTTGTAAATATCCCCCCCCCCTTTCTTCAAAAACCTGATGTCTTCTTATACTATTCAAACACGTCAATCTAACCCAAGAGACATCAGAGATTGGAAAAGGGAGCAGACTTCGAGTTCATCAGTCTTTAATTTTGTAAGTGTGAGTTCATGTAAGTGTGAGTCTGTAGCAGTTTGCCACCATTCTCCAGCAAATAATAAGTCAAATCAACTCGATGAGGACCTTTGGTGTTATGGCCAATTTTCACACAGGCATTACTAATCAAATTTGTTTCACGAAACAGTCCAACCAATGTAGGAATTAGAGCCTCAACATAGCCACTGTAATAGTCACATGAGCATCCATATCCCTCTACATATTTATTAAGTTCATTCTGGTTATTTGGATTCAATGCGTCGTACACACAAGGTGCCTTGGTATCGGAAGGAACATTTGTTTTATAAAAGGGGTTACTACTACTACTACTACTCGGTGTAGTGGAGTTTTGAGATGAAGAATTAAGGTGAATATGGATACAAGAAGGTTCCATTCCTTCTATGTTCGGTACCGTTTCGGGAGCAGAACATTCCACACATATGCCTTCTTTGACTGGATTGAATTTAGATATGTCTATAATATTCAGATCATGAATCCATCCAACTTTTCTACATCCATTATCCCGAATAAGTTTAATCGTGGGTTGATCACAATGCTTTCCACTAAATAATCCACGAGTTGTACACTCACATATAAATTGGTAATCTTGCCATATTAATTTACCTAATGTGGTTGGACATACTGGAACTGTAGGTATTATTGTGGGAGTAGTAGGAGATATTTCAAACCAATATCCGTCCTGCCAGGAGGCACTGGCTGGTAATATTTCATTACCTTCTTTAGAATATAAGGGAGACGGTAAAAATATACAACACTGATTTAGTTTCATACCTTCCCACACTTTACAGGCTTGATGATGATTGTCATCCTGATGGTGTCCAAATGTTGATAAAATTAATAAGGGATTATTATCTAACACATCATCACTTTCAGCCTGATCAATGTACCATTCTAATGATGATATATTTTTTTGTCTGGTTATACCATAGTGAAATAACTTTCTTTTTCTTTGTATTGTCTCGCCTCCAATAATTACCGTATATATAAAAAAGTATATTAGTAAAAGAAAATAAATTATACCCATCATTTTTTTGGGGGGTTATTCATAAGGTTGGTTCAGAATTATATAGCGAAAGTCTCAATCTCTAAAGTAAAATGTTATGCAGTTATATTTAAGTGAATATATAAATATATATTCTATACTTTCTTTAAAAAAGTAAACAAAAAGAAATGAGTTAATTGCATACACACATGATAGTTAATTTTTATCACATACTCGGTCAGGATTGTATGTTAAAAGTTATTTCAACTTTGAAAGAAATATTGTTGATCTTGCCTTCGTGTTTAGTTATATGGAGTTACAGTACATAATTAAGTGAGGCGTGTTAAGAAATACATTGCCAGGTTCAATCTCTAAATGAAATGTTATACTGGGTTCAAAGGCCATATATCTACTTGGGGCAATTAAGCATCATATATTTGTTACGTATTTATTTATGAAAGTAGAGTGTATTTGTGTAGAAACAACGAAAGGTGACATAGCAGGATGTAGATGGTATCAGCGTTAGTAATCAAAGAGATAACTAATGATGACCCATAATGTCCAGAGGGTATATAAAGCATTCTTCATGAATCTTACCTAACGATCTAAATTATAAATTACCAACGGTAAAAATAATAGATGTTTGAGTGGTTTTTTGGCTTACTGAATACAAGGTGTTTGCTATAATTCAAATTTGTTATAACTGATAAAAAATTACAACTATTAATTGAATAACATTATTATTTCCCAGGTAGGGCCTGGAAGCTACTTCAACTGGGTAGTTGTTAAGAGACTGAAAAGATTATTGAAAATATCGAGAAGAATAACTATTTATGAGAATATTGAGGATGCTACAGGTGGCATCATCCTCAAATATGAGGTGGTGATGTTGGTAGTAATGGTAGTGGGTCAGAACAAATGGAAACGGGAATATACACCATCTGATCAAAGGGAAGTCACCAGTTCCATGCAAGAGAATGACCAGGAGAACCAAACCCCAAGCGCATATGGGCTGATGTGACTCAGCGATACTTAGCCAAGCTTTTCATGACTATGTCGACTTTTAAGGGAGGTCAAATAATAGAATCAAAGATAAATAAAAAAAAGAGAAGTAAACAATTAAGAGTTAATCAGAAGCAAATTCCTTCAATATTATTATTATTCTTAACACACCAGAATAAAAATCAAAAGTTTGGCTCCAAAAAGTTATAAACTATTTTTATTTAACATTTTCTTTTCTTTTTTTATTAATTTTTACAATATACAATTTTTTCGGTAATATATACCATGTCATTTTCAAGAACAGTTTGAGGGTTACGAAGAAATGGAATAAAATCAAAGAATTGAGTAGCATTTTCCTGGTTAACCAGTTTTTCAAATTTCGAAGGTGTGGTAACATCATTGAAACCTAATATTTGATGAGCTCGGTATGGTGACTTGACTTATTAATTGACGCAATTGTGATACTGTCAGATATGCTTGACCAATAAATATACGATCGAGTTGTAAATCTTCAGACCTAATCCACATCGTATAATCCAAATTAGCCTGACCAATATCACCTAGTTTCCACTGAAAATCTTGATAATATCTATTAATACTTGTATCACCCAAAAGGTAATGTCCTAATATATATTGAGGGGAACATGATAAGCACTGTTTATTATATTTTTCAATAATAGTAATATTACTACCTAATTTAGATTTGAATTCTTTTATATATATGATAAACTTATATAACTCTGAATCATATACCAGCGGAAACTCATCCAGGTCCTTGTTTCCAGTTCCATCATTTTTTGGATTGTACAAGTCTAGCAAATGCATATTGACATTTTGCCGTTTCTGTTCCTCGAGTAATTTTAAAATATCCGTAGTTGATAAGCTGGCCATCAGATTTATTAATATTATTATTATTGAAAAATATTAAAATTTTACCTCCGTCTCCGCTGCTGGTGTCATCTAAGTCTCTCGTTCGACATTGGGAGACCCCCAAATATATAAGAATTACAGAACAAGATGAAGATATTTGAGACGCTTTTCCAAGAAAATGAGTTGAACATGAAAGAATGTATTTATAAATACAATAAAATTTAAAGTAGTTAAAAATAATTAAAAAAGTAACAATGCATAATAATACATTTGACACTAACATGTTAAAAAAAAAAAGAGAAAAACAAGA